CAAGTGTTATACAGCATAAATCAAGATTAGTCATTTAACAAGTAAAGTATTAAAGAGTGAACAAGATAACAAATATAAAACATGTTAGTATCAAACATTAAAGTCCATATTAAGTTTACACTATACTTATTCTTACACCATTAGTGTAACCTTTTCACCTTGACATAATAAACTTAACTAAACATAATAAAAGAAAGAAAAATAAATAAATAAGATAAAAACATAAATAAGATAAAAATATATTAAGTAAAGGAAAGCAAATGAAAGACATAAACTTGATATTAATGAAAGTAAAACTTAAGCATTACAAAAATACAAAGAGAGAAAGCAAAAGCATGATTTTGATCTAAAAACTAAGATGCCTAAATGGGCTAAAATTAAAAATTATTAATTTGATAACTAATTGATGAGTGGGTGGCCAACTTGACTTGGTGACAATTTGTTTTTATAGTCCTTCGGTGCTTTCATGACGCCTTGTAATAGTTCATGTTATCAATTTATACTATAATGGATGCCTGATAAGTGCCCATTATTCTCTTCCTAGTTGTTAGAAAAAGCAATAATAATAAGTAAATTGTATTTTTTTTAAGAAAAAAATGTTATCTTTTTTTTTATTAAATGAATAATCTTAATATTTGGCTTTCAATAAATAATTAAATTTTATATTTTTTATGTGAAATAAAAAACTTAAATGAAGCAATACATTTAATTTGAGAGAATGACTCATTATTCAATTTAACAAAATCTGACTATTATATAGCTTTACAACTTTCGAGATAAAAGTAAGATTATTTCAGATTATTTTCATTATTTATTTTAACATAAATATAATAATCAATAAAGAAACAAGTCTAAACAAAACAACATATTCTCTCGTCAACAAAAATTATTATCATTATTATCAAATCTAAAAAAACAACTACAAACTTGATAATTTTATCTTCTTAGCATTCAATATTGTTCAAGTAATTCAAATTAACATAGAAAAATATGAACATAAAAAAAAAAGAGACTGGAATTCTCATAAATTTATTTTAATTTAAATACAAAGAGATTATATATAGATTAAACTAAAAATAATATTATATCCTTAATAAATAAAATAATATAAATATAGTATTTAACAAATACAAGATCTTAACAATATATTTATTTGGCATTTAAAACCAAATTAGGTTTTTTTTTTTTAAAAAAAAGAATACCTATATACAGAATGTGTACCATTCTTTTATCTTCATTGTTATGTGAAGCATTTAAAACCAATTTAGGATTTTTTTTAGGAAAATACATATATGCAAAAATTATATCATTTCATTGTGTTACGTGAAGGTCCTTCACACAATTGGCATCTTTTATTTTTACTTTAAAAAATTTAATTTTTTTTTCTTCAAGTTATTTTTTTGTGTTTTTATATCATTTTTATATATTAAAAATAAATTTAAAAAATAAAAAATTATTTTGATGTTTTTAAATAAAAATACTTTAAATAATGATAATATCAAACACAAGACACTCATGTGGCCAACTAAACCTGTGTAAGCTTTAAACCTTTTAATAGTCAAAATCCGAAGTTTATGCAGCAGCAGCCCAGAACTAATAGGTCCGGTCCACAAAGAGCTGGGTTCTGAATTTATAAATTAATTTTATTGTCTCTTGTGACCACGAGGAGTCCGGTCCACAGTATGAGTGAGTCCTCCTTGCGGCTTATATTGTCTAATGAATTTTTTAATGTTTTACTTGCTTGAGACAAATTTAATTACGGTATAAAGATTTAATTCATTCAATTCGAGTTTTCCCCTTTTTATAAATCAAGGGATCGTATAGAAAAGTGGACCGACCAAGGGGAGGAAAGAGATTGGTGAGAAGCTTGTTAATTATAACAATTCACTTTAGTCCCTATACTGTAAATTATTGCAATTTTATAATCGTTTATCATACCCCTATAGAGCAAAAATTAGTCCCTAGAAGATATTTCGTTGAGAATTTAAAAAAAAATAAAAGAAAAAAGAGATAAATATTTATATGGCTATCGCCTTCGACTTTCGCATTGTATATGCATGATTCCCGGCCCCCTTTGGGCAAATCTAAATCCAGATTTATTAATTCGTAGAACTTAACATACCATGATTTTGATTTTTTATTTTTTGTTGAGAAGGGCGTGTTCTTCACCTCTAGTAAACAAGATCTCGAAACTGTTCAGACAACCTTCGTTATGATGGTGAATTTTCTTTCGTTTAATATAATCCATAAATTTCTTACAGCCCTTCCATGGCGTTTCGTTCCATTGTCGCTGGCAGAACAATTTTAAGGAAGAACACATCTTTGCGTGTACATGTGTAGCTTCTGCACATATGGTGAGAGCTTCTGTACCATAGAAAGGCATATTCACTTATGTTTAACAATTTCTTTCAGGAACAAATTAAAATCACCCACATAAAACATAATGCTAATAATAATAATAATAATAATCTTATTACAATATCATTTTCGGTTTACATTCTTCCCTGCCCAGCAACACCACTTAAAGCAAAGATACAAGATATTGAACAGTACAGCTTTTTTTTTTTCCTAGTGATAATCTGCAACAGTTACTGGTAGACAGGACCTCGACCTCACTCCTCCACACCTGCAAGGACAGAGGATACGTTAGAAATCAAAACTATGAAATAACAGATTGTTAAACAAAGTTGCGAAGGATTCACCATTTTTGAGCTGACTTTGACATAATGCAAGAAGAAGAGCATGCAACAAAACTACGTACATGATTAATTTATGATCTAGATGCTACAAAGACATCAAGAAAAAATGATGGGAGAAGAATTAACGAGAAAAAAGACGTATGAGGGAACAAATATGTGGTTTATACCTAATGCATGGAAGCAGTGCAAGATTTTTAGTCGCTGTCACTGCTGCTGCTATGGCCATCATCCTTCTTCTTCTTGTCCTTCTTCTTCTTTTTCTCTCCTCCTTCACCATGGGCGCCACTGCCACCGCCAACCCCCGGGATCTTGTCCTTCATCTGGCCAAGGAACCCTTCCTTGCGCTCACCTTGTGCGTCGCCCCTGTGCTCTTGTTGCTTGTACCCACCTTGCGTCTCGCCCTTGTGCCCGCCGCCGCCCGGTAATTTGTCCTTCATCTGGTCGACAAACCCTTCCTTGCGCTCGCCTTGTGCGTCACCCCTGTGATCTTGTTGCTTGTACCCACCTTGGGTCTCACCCTTGTGCTCATCTTTCTTGCCTCCAATGTTCAGAGTCTCCTCAATCTTGTGCATGATTCCTGCCATTGTGTATTTCTTTCTTTTTTTCTCTCTCTTTCAAATGGTTTTTGATATGAAGTGATGAAGGAAGCAAGAGCCATATTTATAGGCTCAGAAGTGGAGCGAAGGAAATGGAAGCAGAGAGAAAGAAGATAAAACTAATGGTGCAATAGGAAATCACAAAAATGTCCATGTACGCGTACAAACAGTGTTGATGATGAATGTATAAACTCTAACGTATCATTTCCTCCAGAAGGGCCTTCGATCTAATCTGAAAGGCTCAAGGTGATGTTGAAAGTTGTTAGGTCCCTGTTTAGGGCACCATACAAGGGAAGGAAGCAAATTCAGTTTAATTAATATGTTAATTAAACATATATCCATGTTAATTATTATGCCAAATATATTAAAGGAGAAACGTAGCAGGAGGCACTTGTGGTCTCCGCCATGGTCATTTTCTCCTGTGGGAAGATATGGATAGATGGGATTTAAGTAATGTTGATATCTTGTTGAAGGAAAGATAAAAACAAGATCAGAATCTTTAATAGAAAAGTAGTGGATGGGTTAAATTAGTGTTTAAGATTACTGTAGGATTTATTTTTTTAAATAGATTTTTAAAAAATATTGTTAGTTACAATTTAAAAAATAAAATGTTTTATAAAAATTATAATAAGATGAATTTTATATATAGAATAAATAAAAAGTAGTTTTCGTGAATAAAAAGAAGATCTCTATAAATAAAAAATATGGTATTTTAATTTTTTAAAAACTAAAATTTAAAATGTAATTATATATAAGCTGGGTGTAAATAAACATAAATTATTTAAATAACCATACAGTTTGTTCTATGTTATAGGGCAAAAACAAAAATTATTATAACACCCAAACATATTATAAAAAGAAAGCATGTAAAATATCCGAAATAGTACAAAGATATTTTTTTTTTTTGGTAACCCTAGGATTACCCTCTGCCTATGACTAAAGGCGTGCCATGGATTTTAATTGTTTATTTAAAACTGAGCAAAAGCAAGAACTCAACTGTCATGAAACTGTCATGAAAGTAACATGGATGATCACAAGATTGATAGCTTGATTATTTTTGTAATTAAAAAAATTGAAATTTTTAATTTTTTAAATTAATTTTTTTCATGTTTCATATTATTTTAATATAAAAAAATTAAAAAAATATTACTTCCAGATATTTCAAAACAAAAGTCACTTGGAAAAAAAAAAAAAAACAACCGTGGGGCCATGGTGTTGAATCGAGGAGCAGTGCTGACAAAAATGATCAGATAGGATGATGAAGAAATATCTACCATGTTGTGGGACCCCATTTACCAGGCAAAAGGGGCCCATCTCTATGGTATCTTCATCCCTCTTTCCTTCTACCTTTCTGGGCTTGAATTAATGAATGCTTTAATTCACCGCCGTTGAAAATACCAGGTTCTTTATCCATTTCGTGCACACACTGACACGTGGACGGTTAACAGTATCTTGCCGACACCTTAGAAATGTTATCCTGCTGTCAGGCTCACCGCCTGGAAACTCCGTCTGGCTGCCACGTCCAAGATAAGGAAAAAATCTCTCGAGTCCTCGTTGATGGGATTTCATAGAGATCAGATATATAACACTGTAACTCTTATGATGCACTCACTGTATCTGATCCATCTCGCACCGGCCATTCTAATAATACATACCGGAAGTGCCCTGGATCCTGAGCAAGTCTCCCACCGGCCGGTCTTTATTATCACGGAAAAGATGAGAAGTAGTGTTTATTAAAAATATGTTAAGATAATATTTTTATTATTTTTAAAATTTATATTTGATATTAACAAATTGAATCCATTAAAAAATAAAATTCAGCTAGAATTCTAAATGGTGCCTAAAGCAAGAGTCCTAAAAGGGCACAGTGCCCAAAGCAAAGCGGCCATTCCTAGAGGTGGTGTTTGCTGCCATGCCAATGTACTTTCCGGTGAGGCGACAACATAAAGGCCTATGACTACTACAGCCACTGACAAATGCACCGAAAAAGAGGAGAGAAAAGTAGTGCTTGCCCAAAAAAGTCCTCGTGATTTTCTCATCAATCCATTTTCCAATGGACTGCCTACACGTGTTTGGATAAGAAGAGGATGGCCAAGCTATTAAAATCCTGTTGGTTTTTTATTAAATTAATGTTTTTAGTTTTTTTAGATTGATTTGATATATTAATATTAAAAATGAATTTTTAAAGATAATAAAAATTACTCTTATTAATATTTAAATAAAAGATATTTTTAAAATATAATTGTTATTATAATATTAGAGAATCTGTGGTCTAGGATGCCTGCCTGTTAGGTTTCATTCACAACTAATAAATGCAACAGTGCTTCTCACAAACTTCGCATGAAACCAATAAATGATGGCCGGTGAATTGCATGGTTATGATTGTTTTTAAAAATATTTTTTTATTAAAATAATTGTTAAGTGGAACATCTTCAATGTATCTTGGGATGTCTGGTCACATAAACTGTGGATAATAAGGACATGCTTAGGATAGATTTCCACTGCGAAACAACTTTCAATTTCAGCCAGCACAAGATCTTATCCACCTGAGAAATTCTTTCCTCTAATTCGCTCTGCATGTTGTTGATTATCCAACCAAGTGGGTTGCTTCTTCTATTTTGAACTGGGAGTGCACTTCTTTTACCAACGGCCATGAAGGCAGCAGAGGTTCCCGGAAGATAATAACCAAGAGAGAAACCTCGTATCTAAGCCATGTTTTATGTTGTCTTTCAAAGTCAGTTTGTCAATATTTCCACAAATTGCACATAAATTACTTATCGCAGATATCCAATCTGTAGAAAATGGGATAGAAATGAAACAGGTTCCTCACAAATGAGAATATATACATGTATTCTGGACACAGTCTCCCGCCAGTTTTATCGAATTGCTCCAAGCAAATTGGCACCATCAAGCTTTGCATCTTCCAAATGCTGTGATAGAATTAAGAAATTAGATGGTTGATTGCAAACAAATCCCTGAAAAGGGAGCCAAAATTGGACATCTACACCAGTTTATGCACATAGCACCCAAACTTGGAATCGCCTTAGATCTTCTGACCTAAGTAAAGAACTCTCAGCTTGACAAGTCACACTTCATTTATATAAGCAACTTGTTGCAAATCTCTTCCACAAAAACCATTTTCAAGTAGAACTATGCAACTTGAGGAGGAATTTGAGGACCATTCATTAAACCTTTATTTAAAAAAATGAAATGGAAAACAAAAACTACTTGCAGAAAAGTTGCCAGCATGTTGAGTATTCTGCATAAACATCACAGCTCTTGATATTATTGTGCTCAAGCTACACTCCAATGATAACATTCTAATTAATTATGTATTTGGTGGATAATGGAACTCATACATCATCTGCATGGCCAGAAAGCCTAATTAATCAAAATTATTGATCCCTGCACCGGACAGGGATCAGATTTTAAGCAACAATACAATGTTCTTGATCTTTGACTTCATTGCACTTCAAATGCACCGTCAAAATCTCTCTTTGATTCAATGCAATTTATTTTCAGTATATATAATTTCATTATGCAAATGCCTGCATATATAACTATTTCAGTGGTGGAAACTGTCGCTTCTATTCATGATGCTGTGGCACGAGAATGATTAAATCATTATTCTGTCAGGTCAATCTTTCTGAAGAAATATTACTGATCTTGTGGAAATATCGATGCCATCCAACATCCAATACAAATTTCAGCATTCTCCATGAATATTACAGAGTTTTAAACGTTCAACATTATTAGCAGTGACATCAACATCAACGGGCCTTTGTTTTTTCCTTTTCAAGAAATGAAAAGCGATAAATTTAAAGAAAAAGAGGTGTTGTTCATATGACGCAAAGGATCCATTAAGCAGATTCAAAACCTATAATATAAACTCATGACCACCATAGAGGCAAATCAACTTTAGGCACCTCAGACTTCGAGAATAATTACCACACCATCTCCAAGTAAAGCCCATACTGATTGAGAGGCCAAGCGAAAATAAGAGTATTCTACATAGTCAAATCAGTTGTTACTTACTGCGTTTTGAAGATTGACATGTCGTAGATAAGCCCGTTGAAGATTTGCACCCTTTAGATTGGCATTATTCAATTTTGCACCCTGAAAAATGTCAGTTTCAGCAAGTTAAACTTAACAGCTACAAAGGTTAGGACAGAAACTTGATTTTGCAGGGGCATCACTTCTTGCAGTCGTTTTATACTTGCTAAATCCACTAATAAACTGGTGTAGGCCCCTTTTTCTTTCCACACATTTGATTCTGCCGCAAAAGTGAGTCTTATTATCATTTTATATTCATGGTTTCCACACTGAAAATGTTTTACCTTCAGATTGGCTCCTTCTAGATTAGCTCCTTCAAAGTTGGCATTAGTGAGATCAGCAGTCTGAAATTAGGTAACTGAACCGGTTAGTATATGAAATCAACCTGGTCTAGAAACAAATATAGGCTCTAGTTTACACTATGCTTAAATCCATAAAATATTTCAATTATATTTGTTCTATAAACTATAACCAAACTTTGGTAAAAATCAGAAGGAAGATGAGACCCTGCTCCTATTGATATTTCTTCTTCATATGAAGCACATTACCATTTTTGCCTCTTAAAAACAATAAGGGTTTTTGTTTGATAAAAAAGAAAGTCAATGCTTCTAGCAAGTGTTTTACACATGGACAATTGATTTAAAAGAATAATATGTTGTGTTTAGAAATTAGATTAGTGGCAGTACACAATGATTACCATTTGAATTCTGCATGTCCAATATTTATGCATTGAACCCTTTAGACGTGCAGGTTAAACTAAAAATTTCCTAATTCAAGCAACCAAAACACAAGTGTAAACCAGAACCAAGCCCCATTCTCACAGTCAACGAACATTGAAGGAATCAAACCAGAATCACCAGCTAATTAGTATGGTCAATTAATCAGAGGGAAAATAAAAAAGGCACAAATTGAAATTCAGTTACTTAAAAGATTAACAGATGCTGAACCTGTAAGTGTGCAGAACGCAGATTTGCTCCGCAGAAATTGCAATCAACCAAAC